TCTACAGAAACCTTCAGACAGAGGATTTTTTAACACGCAAATCATTAGGTTTGGCCTCTGACTCATATTTCGTGATTAAATTTTATTTCTCGCAGGAATTGAATCCTTTTGGCTTAGCATCACGGTTTTTCCAAAACAAGGACTTCTCTAAATGGACCAAGGAGTCCATCAACAGGAAGGACAATTGGTAATTCTTAACCAAAATCACATAAAAATCTGTTGATATATCCTGGACATGACCCCTGGATGGGAATAGCAAATAGTACTATATGAAAATCAATTACTGCACCATTCTAACGTTTCTACATCAAACACACTTTACAGCACCAAATATTTCACTGCATGCATCCTATTCAAGATTTAACGATTAATTATTAATTAACTATTTCAATTTGATAGACTTTGTAAAATCAGTGAGCTTTGTTGTTATCCCTAAAGCCTTTTGAATGTAGACAATCTAGTTGCTCAACATCTAATGGCAAGGCGTCAAAATTTCTGAGATAATTGAATGAATATCGTTGGCTTGCAAAAAGTACATGGATTACTGCTCTCGTAAACACTATCCCACTATTCGAAAGCTAACGACCATTTAGTTTGGGATGTACAGGATGTTCTTTCAGACTGACACTGTAGTAGGTGTCCGTTATCACTCTGTCCAGTGTTTCTTGTATCGTCACGGCTGACTAACGTCTGCATCCTGATCAAAACTCCATGCCAAAAGAGGGGGGGTTTGTTCTCTATCTATCCTACAAAGAGTAGGCTATAAATTAGAGAATGAAACTGTGTTTGATTTCATCTTTCTTCAGACGTGGGTTTGTATAATCGATAGACACCATTGTTAAATTCAGACAGAAGCATAACTTCAGTGGTGTATCTGGGGTACATTTGCTGGGAGCGCTGGGGGGGGCTAATTTTCCGGAAGGTAAGAGAGGTACGTTAGGATCTGAACTACCTCATTCTGTCAATTAAGGCAGACTATAGTTATGAGTAGAACTCCTATACCAATCTCTAGATCTATAAATAATTTTTTTGCACAGATCTTATAAACGCGATGTTAACTCAACAAAAACTCAAACCATTGTGAATCATTATGAGTCAAACCAAACAAGAAAACTTGGGGGTCTTGCTGGTGGGTGGATCTGGCAAATATTTCCTGGGATGATAGGACTTCAGATGGACTTCCTGACAACCCTCGGCATTAAGGTTCCAGAAAATCTCACTGAAATAGCTCGTCAAATACAAAATATAAATCATTCCAGGGACCCTCTCAGAGATTCTCCAGTGTCAGACTGGGATTTCTTCGATATGGATGGTCCTTACTCATCCGTGTCATTTCTGGACAGCCTTTCAACCTCAATAACGACTAGATGCGATAACAGACATCTTTTCTTTACCACTGTGCTCTGTAGTGACAGGCTTATTAAGTATCTGAACTATTAACCACTACATCAGAATCACTTAATGACAGAATGAGCAAAGCACAAATTGACAGTTGACTCTCATTCACTCTCTTAATATGTTGCTATGTAATAAGCCAGAAACTTCCAAACTGTTGACGAATTAACGAGCGGGAATTTCTGATCTTCGAACTTTTAAACAAAATGAAGTCCTTCCGGGGGCATTATAGATTTAACCTTTATTCGTATTCAAAGAAATGTCTGACTCATTGCGAGGTTGGGAGAAACCCAGAATGTTAAAGTGCTGCTTTCAGATTTTGGAATTGAACTAGTAATTCGACAGTCCTTGATAACATACAAACAGTTGAAGTCAGATTCTTTTAATAAAATAGTTATAATCTTTTGTTAAATTAAACTGTCAACCATCAACCGTTAGGTACGATTTGAGCTCTTAGGTAAAGTATGGAAATCATGAAAATAACTTTCAAATCGATGCATGAATAAATCTTTGCAAAAGGGATAAAACTGATTATGATATCTTCATCTACTTGTACATTTGCCACACGAGTCTGATTACTATTCAAGTAAAACCAGTCTGGTTTCCACCCATATGTACCATAGATCACACTAAGACATGTAGTCATGCAATGTCGACTTCAAAGTGTTTTGGCTTGCAGGAAGGGAATGTCGGAGGACCAAAAAGGATGAAACAAGACTTCTTTGTCTTGTCGACAGGAAGCTCAGTGAAGACCAAGCTGCGGCTAGAAATTAATTAAAGCTACTCATCAGCACATTCAGTTAATATACCCAACCAAAAGAAGCATCGGGTATTGGGTACGTGCGTAACAAATGGTGCATACTGAACACGTGGAGATATCTTTAGTGGCCATTCTTACAACCAAAGGCTACGACTAAGGCTTCCTGCTTGCAATCAAGTTAACGGTCTGGGTTAAACATTGAAGTTCGATTTGCTAACCAATCTTTCAATCTTCTAGAAAACAGCAACTATTCGCTGGAGACAACACTAATGCCTATGGTTATTGGAAAGGCATGGTCACGCCGGTAGTCCTGTGTGATTGACATCAATAAATTTTGACTCGAGAAACCCCAGATATTCTTCTGACAACCATAACACCTTTGATTTATGCACCGACAATCAATCCATCAAGTTCTTAGGATGTAAGGCATACTCGTACAATTGGTTCCTTAAGATCTTGCAAGACGAGGTGACTAAATTTTTTTTCGCTCAGGGGGTCACACGTGTCATCACGACGGGAGAACCTGGAATGACTTAACAATGTCACTTTATAGTACCGGTACCCTACAGACACCTGGGGTTAGCAGAGACGATGCTTGTCTGGGGAAGAGTTTTTTGGCTGATTAAAGATTACTCACTGAACACAAGAATCCACGATTAATTAGGAAAATAATATATAATCTATAAACACACTTTAATGATATAGCAAATTACCTTTTGTGAGGCATTTATCACACATACAGTCATACTTTAATATTAAACCAAAATATTCAAGAATATTTGGTTTGAAAATCTGATTCATTCGTTCAACGGCATGAAAGTCAACATCCAAAAACAAACTGCATTTCGTGGGGTCTTTCCTGGGTTTCAAATTTTAGCCAATACTTCGACTGTTCAAGCTTACTTTCAAAATGGAAATTAACTGTGAACTCTTCCCCTTCTTTAATTTATCAGAAACTGTGACTGCGGATACAAATTTGATTGTATCGCCTGAAGGAAACGTGACTGAAACAAAGCGAGACCACAAACGGTATAAATATAGAAACTGTAAACCTTATTCCCCTTGAGTATTCCTATTAAGTCAGTGGAATTCTAAAGGTGTTATCCATCAGGGCCTTCAGGCAAAAAACTTACCAGGCCAGGTTAAATGTTTAATATGACCCACTGGCCTCATAACATGTTTTTTTAAATGTGGTCCGAAGGGAGGACTCCGGGGGGCGTCATATTGATACTATTGACGAATGACAGACAATAGTGACTGCGACGCGCATATACCTGCAGAAATAGAGCAACTGGCTGCTGTAATGGTGAATATGTCATTTCAGCACCCAAGGGATACATAGCACCCAATGTGAATAATGACAAATTCTTTTCTCTTTAAGTTCCAGTCTGACATCTTGCTTTCGGGAAAACAATTAAAAAAAAGTAACCGCGGAGACATAGAGCGTCAGAGGTCCTGCAAGAATTCAAGGTTATGAAATGTTTCATGGCTACCAATCTCAATTAGAAAGCACAACCTTCCTTCTGAAACCGGAACGGATTAATTAAAACTGAACAATACTCCAAAAAAAAAACCAAAACGCAAAAAACTGCATCATTGTGACTTCACGTGCCCTGAAAATATTTCCCAATTTTGATACCAAGTACCGCCACCAAAATGGCACCTTTAGATATCAGCCATGGATGGACAGTGATGCATTGTTGATGCGATCAAAGAGATCATTCACTCGTCGTCTAGACTACTTCATTTCATCTTATGACGCTAGGTCGTGAGGAACGGCCTTTGACTTTATTCTAATGAGGAACATATTGAATTCCAGAGAGGAGGGTAACCTAGAGGGTGGTAATCAAGTCGAAACGTGCGGTGTGGTTTGCGCTATGTACTTGCTTCATGAAATCTTTCTAAACTTAATTTACACGATGAACTGTGAATCCCATCTAATCACTACTCACTGAAAAAGCCTAAACGCAGTTTAATCGGTTAATGAGTTGATGAAAAAGGGAAAGAAAATCAGCATTTCCTATTATGTGTGACTGTTTTCTTGATGAAAATGAAATGTTCCATAGATTTGAAATTTCAAACACGCCGGTTTTTCTGGGAAAAATAAATGGGGCACACAGGTTTTGGTTTTTCATTCCACCGGAGTTTGAGATCGTACTTAAATGTCTCATTGTTAAATCAAAGAAAAAGGCCGATATTAGGCCAAAAAGAATAATTTCTTTGGCTATAGCTGTTCAAATTGGAATTGGTAATAACAAAAATTATAAGACTAAAGAGATAAATACAATATATAAAAATACTTTTTCGAAATTGCAGTTAATTCTTACTCAACCAAAACGTGAGCACAGCATCAGAACATCGCTTTTTGTCTCAAAAATGTGGTATCTGGATAAACTGGTTGATTTAGTCTGATGAATTCCTTGGTGTTGTCGTAACATTTCCCGACACTTTAAAGTTAAAAAATGTTTCTCCATACATTCATTTTTGGAGTGCTGTTGCTCGACGGATGGGGAAGAACAAATCTAGCGACGACGTGACAGATTCATTCACTTGGGAACACAGAATGAGGAAAAAAGTTTATTTTAGAACGGACAGTCATGGTCATGTTGGACTTGTTTCTTATGATGAATTGGGGTCGTGGTGGGCTGCAGGTAGTTAATAAAGTTACATCTCCATTCAATTTGACTGAAACCTACGACAATTGGAATGAATTTTACATAGCATTTTCATCCTACTGTAGCACAAGTGTTACAGAATATACAGCTATAATGGCTGCAGTAATTAAAATATGATTCAGTAATTAATTCAGAATATGGCCGTAGTTAAAGTGAAGATTAAATGTTACCTTTTTATGCGGGTGCAGACGTTGTTCCCCTTGGGTCTTTTTGCTGCCTCAGCCCCCTGGCCGAGGGTAACAATCACAGTCAATACAAAAGTTAAGATCCAGAGAAAACGAACTGAACTCCAAAAAGACAGCGAGAGATTCATGTTGGCACTTGTATGCGTAAACCACACTGACAAGCAACCGCCAATTTGTGTCAGATGTCAAGTGTTATACAGCAGTCAGATCTTAACGGTATTACAACAAGCATAGCTGAAACATTTTGCACACACGAAAACGTACAGAAGGCAAGACATCCATCCAAAGTTTCCCCATGTCTCCTGTCAGCAATAAGAAGCTCTTCTTCTGTCGTATTTTCCCAAAAGATGCAACAAGTGGTGGTAACTACAGCGAGTCCTGCTTCAAGGTATAATCTCAACAAAAATATCCAACTTCCCTCGACGGGAAAGCCGAGGTGACTGTAGGTCTATCGTAGAAAGCTTACCGTCTGCCCAGGATTGGTGAAACGTCAAGGCAAGGCTGAACTCTATAAACTCTCGAGACTGGGATGTTCTCATTTTGTCCAGGGCACGACGGGCAAACGATCTCAGGTTCAAAGGATTATGCAGTCACCCCCACTTAAGGAATGGACTCTTCAAGGCACTTTCTAAATTAGAAGTACACCGTGGATTGGCTTAACTTTGTTGATCTGCATATTTTGTATTCATAAAACAACGGAGAGTGAATACAAGCTGGTTTTAATCTACAATATAAATCCATTTGAAAATAAAGCCCCTTCTTAAAAATCTATACAGGTAAGATATCTGACAAGAAAGTGCTTAAATCAAAGGACGAAGAAATCTTATCTCAATAGGGTATCCAGTATAAAGCAAAATATCGGCGATAGCTAAAATGAAGAGCTGTGGTTAGAAAATCCGTGAGTCACAAAAACACCCCTTGTTGGTTTTGAATAATCCTGCAGACACCTATTTGTATGAAATTAGAGCCTTACAACAGATTCATTAAGAAAGGAAAAGACTTTCAGTTCTAATTTTAAAGGGGAAACCTCAGCGTCCCTTTTTAAGCCTTGATCAAGCAGGACTTCCTACAGGACCCACCCCAGGGTCACTGGGAATTTACTCAACCTAATTCAGCATCTTAAAGTCTTACACAAAAGCCTGCTTATCATCAGCCCCACGCTGGCGGTGTGAGGAGTTCTAGGAAAGTTGGTCCGCAAAAGAGAAGTCCGTTGATGAAATGTGAACAAAGTACACTCGTTGTAGAAAAAGGGTGCTGAAAGCAGACAGACTGACCTCTTCTTGCTTCAGCTGTCATTATAATGGAATCGTCAAATAGTTTATTTCGCCAATCATGCAAAAAGCAATGATGTACTGCAGACAGCACATATCCTTCCGAAATTTAACACGGTGGCAAATGCTGTTTTTGAAAGGTGCTGTCAACAAGGAGCGTCCCTTCGCATACAGTGTGGAGGATTCTGGTATAAATTCGCTCTTGTTATTCGAAAGTTTCACACAGTGCAGAAGATGGCGATCTTGGTGTGTTGGGGATAAACTGGGTGAGCCGAGGACGGAAGTGTGACGAAAGGACTGAAGTCCAGGATCATTCGAGGGGATAATGGTGCACTGAAATCGCCTGTGCAGGAGTGAGATTATGTCCGAAAAATTGCATGCACGTGTTAGCGTTAAACAGAAGCTGTCTTTTCGTTAAGAAAGGGTTAAAATTGCAAGTTGGGTACTGGACCTTTCCGAGGTTTACGGATTTTTATTGCTGATAATCACTCTTAAAATCAAAGCAAAGATGATATACAGACATAAAATGGTTTTGAAATCTCTGATATTCTAGTTCACACTAAATTAAACGATAAAGATTTGTTAAGCATTTTGTTTGCTGGCAAGAAATAATTTTTGATCACTCTACGGTCGAGAGAAGTCGCCAGGATAATCCGCATGATCAACCTGCTTCAATCGTTAGGATTTTAACAATGGATTTCTTTTTCCAAAGGATTTGTTGCCCTAAAATAGACGGCTGATTGGCAGGTGAAGCACTCCCAAAGTTATCTGTAAATTGGGAGGAAATTCCCGTTTATTTTGTTCTTGAGGGCGCTCACGTTGCCCATAATGCAATCTCCTCATTACCAAGATTCGCTTCCTGTCAAGTAGACTCGCGTATACTTTGTTACCAAAACGATCCCGAACGACGGATTCGTTTGTGTGCAAAGTAGGATCCTCTCTGTAATTAGCAGGTGTTTATGTTTGTTTGCCATGATAGAGAAAACAAACTGAGCCGACCAATGAGTGCACAGGCCTGTAGCCTACAAAGGCTGCACATTGTTCTAAGGAGAAGGCGACGTGCTCCAACCCGAAAATGCGCCCGAAACCCATTGAATTATCACGACGATCTCTGCTGGTTCAGACGGGGCGGGTCATCTTATGAATGCCATCCCATGAACATGTGATTTGAGTCCACATCCTTCCTGGAAGACTCATAGCGTTGTTCCTTTCAGTGATCGCTCCAACAATTCGTCCAGACCGGTTTCCTATTTTGCACATCCTTCATATTTCTTTTGAGCATCAACAAACTGTCTGTACAGAGTTTCACAGGCATGACTTACCAAATTGGATAATTTAAAACTGTTAAAAAAATAATAAGTTACATCATACACATTGAGCAAATAAATAGTTTTCAGATAAGAACAATTAAGCGTTCGTTTGTCAGGGTCATTACAACATCAAACTGGCGGTGCAAAAACCTTTGGACTTGATCCCAAATAAAATAGTTCAAACAGAAGGTAAGCATCGATTAGCAGAAAAGAACGAACAAGGTAAAGGTTGGTCTGTAATGCACGTTGTGTATGTGAGTTGCAAGGTGCACATCTGCTGTAAATTAGTTGTGTGAAACGTTTTACCATGGGTTGGAAAACGTTCGTAGCTATTGGAATAGCTGCTTATCTGATCTATCACAGCATCGATCAGTTTGATCCAGGTAAGTTACATTAAGTGAGCATAATTCACCCCAAAAAGAATCGTAGTACAAACTGCAATCTATTAGGGTACAATGATCGCCAAGGGATACCTGCCTAGAACCTAAAGCAATCCATCATGCATTAACGTTATTGTGCACCTATTGGAGCTATGATATCGCAGTAATACAGTAAAATTCACAAAGTGAATGGTTGGAATAGCCTGAATTGGATGAGTCGTTGAATGGAACGACGAAATATGCAGCTCATCAACAATGTGTCCTTTACATGTGTAAACAGTAAAAAATGCCCCTTCAGTTCTATTGTACCAAAAAGTCATGCATGATCGTCAGCATTTACGAAGTTACTGCAATGTTAATATTTCCAACTCTATCTTAGTGCAGACCTGTTGTAATCCCTACTAGTACGTTGGACTACTGAAATCGTTGATCTGGTGTCATGTTAATTATAGGTCAATTTGATAGCATTCATGCACTGTTTGAAGGAAGATAAAGAAGCTTATCCTACAAGCTGTGACTCCGAATATAGAGCGGACGAACCACTTTAAGAGATAACAGAACCAGACACGGGTTTTCTCAAACAAAACTCCGACGATTGGTGCGATAGACTTCGTGGTTTGGGTCCACAACACCAAAACAACCTAGTGACTGACTATTGCGTTTTTTAATTCCGGCTGATAGCGTGGGGGGCAACCAGGGAAGGGCGACCAATGCATCTACATGGTGCGATAATTTTTGACCTATAGTTGCTACTTTGCGTACCCAACTGTCACGTGGTATTAAAGGTTGTTTGTGCCTTCTTGGATTCAGAAGTTTCACATGCTGCTTTTACAAAATTAATATTTCCTTTGAAACCAGGATCCACACAAAAATTCCAAAGGAAATGTGCCGGTGGACATAAAATACTGTATTTTACACGGCAAGGCAGGCTTTCAACCATGCTATTCGTGTTCACTGTCCCACATCTTCGAGGTTAGCACTAATTTGAGTCAGTTAATTTAACCACTTGGCGCCGAATTACGTGTAAACACGCTTATCGTGAGAAAATCCGACGTTAACTGGCCACACTCTGAACTTATGTCATAATTACTGCCCGTTATCTATACAAAGACTATCATCAAAGACAAAGAGTCATACAACAGATCTACAGTATGTCTTAATGTCTTCATTGTCGCATTTCGTATTTGCAGCTAGCGTCAAAGACAAAAGGGTTGTGATCACAGGGGCTAGTACCGGCATCGGAGAAGAGATTGCATATCACTACGCTCGGTTCGGTGCTCGGATCCTCATCACTGCCAGAAGAGAGTCAGTTCTCAAAGAAGTTAGACCTATAATGTTTCAGAGTATCTGTATAAAAAATACATGTAACTTTGCCAATTAAAATACCGATGGCCCTACAACACATCTGTCCGACTACGCCTAAACCTAAAATAACCAACTTTTTCTTTATGGTTTTAAGGGTTGGTCGATAAAAGGTCTGGAAGGGTGTATTTCCTTACAACGCAGATGTAGGGAGCTAGCCAACGCTGAACAATGGACCAAATTAATCTTGCTGCTCAAAGCGAGTAGCGAAAACTATTTGTTCTCTTGTATGATGGACAATAGTGGAGGGAAGGACGTGGTTGAAGTCGGTGAAACGATACAAAAGATGGAGACGCAACCTCACCCATTCGAATCAAAGAATCATCTTTTTCTGGCAGTGTAGCTGCAGTCTTTCATTAAATCATTAACATTATTATCTGGCACAGTCAGTTCAACGAACAAAAAACATAATTCCCTCCCCTTAATTGAGTGGTCATTTTTCAATGAAGTCGGGAGATACCCATCGGTCTCAGCATTAATGATAAACTATCTCTTTGAATGCATTTGTTTCCTTCAACGTATTTTGTGACACTTTATCACTGCTACCCATTCCCGGCAACCATGAACACTTGTTTACACCTCAGGTTGTGGCAAAATGCAAAGAGCTTGGAGCCAAGGAGGTGTTCTATATCCCGTTGGATATGGCCAAGGAAGAGGCTCCTAAGATTCTGATCGATGAGGCAGAGAAGAAGTTTCGAGGACTAGATCATCTTATCTTGAATCACATCATTAGTAGTTACCCGAAATTCTGGGACGGAGAATTCGACTCTGTAATGAAGAAGGTGCGTTTTGCCATTTTGAGTGAGCAAAATTTCTCGTGACAGTTTTCCCCAAACTGTTCGCGATTTCCTGAACGATTCTGAACATATCAGGAGCGCCCATACACGCACACACACACAAAAGTGTGTATTTGCCTGCAACTGGGGACCCCTTATTGTTCTTTTTTAGAAGACCACCCATACACAGTTGTCAATCGGGGACCCTCTGTTAATCGGGGACCTTATTGTCCTCTATTGTTCAGGGTCCCCAATTGAATGCAGAAACAAACTCATACACCCAAGGAGACTAAAAAAAACACCAATTCAGAGCCGTGCCTATGCGGGCACACGTGTTTATTTTGAAGAGGACAGAAAGTGAACTTAAAAGTGACTACCTCATCCGTGTTTAATACACGAAATGGACGAAAGAAGACGTTCGTGGTGAAAAAAGTACTCGCTTTATATTCTTGCAGACGATGGAAGTCAATTTCTTCGCCTACATCAGACTAGCGACACACGCCACGCCCATGCTAAGGGAAAGCAAAGGTCATATCGGTGTGGTTTCGTCTGGAGCAGGTAAACGAGTAGCGAGGGAATTTTATAGAGGTGGGAAAGATTTGGTCAGGTTGACTGTGTTTGAGGCTGGCAGTGCGGGGAGACACGTTACTCAATGCATGATATAAAGAACAAGAAAATCTTTTAACTCAGGACTGGGGTGTGTGCGTTCATGAGAGACAAGAGACATTTGTTCCGACAAAAAGCGGTCCAGACCATTCATTGACTCGTGAAAGAATTGCACAACACAATGTCCCTTTTATTTACTTCAAATGATTGAAATTATTGCATCCCTGTCCAGGAAAGATAGGTCTGCCTTTCGTAGCAATCTACAGCGCCTCGAAGTTTGCTCTCCATGGTTTCTTCGACGCTCTTCGGCAAGAATACAAAATGCAGAATTTTGGAATATCAATCTCGACTTTTGTTCTCGGTATGAAATTAAACCAGAATATCATTAAACTTAAGCAACAGCTGTACTTTTCATGAAGTATATGAATGGGCAAAACGAGGGCTTTCAGAAAAATGCCATGAGCATTACACAGCGTTACAATTCATATGTAAAATCAAAATTCACCATGGTAACGATGTTTGTTATTTCAGGCGGCATCAACACCACCAATGTTGCCAAGGATACCACCAAAATTTTCCTGGAGCAGACTTTCTACACTACCCCATCTGACACAGCTCTACGTATCATCAAAGGAACAACAAACCGTGAACGGGAGGTCTATTACCCATACTTCCCAATCACAAAGATGAGAGACTTTGCTCCTGAACTGATGGAAAGAATTGTGCAGTCACAGACCCTGAATCACGATACTATCAAGAAACTCCTGACAGCCTAGGAAGAATGCTAAAAATGGTCAAAGACTAATCCTCAATTTCAGCCACTATAGAATATATAACCCATCGTCTTTGAAATAATTCAAATTTGTTGAATATTACTATGTTTCATGTGGACATGCAGTTTAGGGTACCAACGCACTCCTTACATACGTACACAATAACTGCTAATAGAGGCCTATTTTCAAAAACTCGAGGCAACAAAATCTTTACCGATGATTTCGCAGTGCAAGTGGTTTTTGATGCGGCTACAAAGCAACCCCCAGGAAATTCGCTTCAGTCTTTCGTCTAATTCATTGAAGAATTCAATCAACTGCCGGTGTAAATTTGCAAAGGTTGTTGGAATTTAGTCAGACGTTGGTGTGCTGATTATGGCAAATTTTAAATCATTCATTTTAAATGTCTTTTAATCAAAATCCTGTGTCAATTAAACAGCTAATTAAAAGCAATATCAATGCTAGGAGAATAAAACACAAACTCTTCATGTGACAGACTTGGGAACAACAAAAATTTTACACTAAAATTGTGTAGTTTTATTGCAATAAATAGGGGTATACTGCTTAGAATATTGTACATTTTCAAAAGATGTTTTGCATATTTGAAGTTGGAACAGTACCAGTAAGAGTTTTCATTTCAAAAACTCAGGGTAGGTTTCCATGGGGATTAAAAATCAAGAAAATCTTCAAGTAAACAGAATTTACATTGGTAAAGAAGTCAATGACCCATTTGAGTCAATTCATATTGATCTTTCCACCACAGCCCGGCCCCCTAGGGAGTGGTAAAATAACCAAATGAATATATCACGTGGGACATTATTTGTCAACTAGGGAGTGCGTAAGTGCGAGAATCCATTTTAATTAGCTGAAGTAGACACACCCTTAGAATATTCGGGTGTTGCCCCATCACAACAGTTAATCCTTCATCAACCCGGACGAAGCAATCAGATGTTTGCCACCACAGAACAATCCTTATGCAAAATGATTGACCATCTTCCCTTCTTGACCACTCTTAGAAGTGATGTTTTTACCCCACGGGGATTCGGTTTCCCACCCCGCCCGTCCACAAATTCAATGTCCGTTTGCTAATAACTAAGCTATGATCCACATCCTTCAGTCAGAAAACAATTGGTAAAAGGCAGGGCCTATATACCGTCAACACACAGCTGGCCACAAATTTTGGTGGTAACTTTAAACACCGTTTCTTCTTCAAAAGAGCGAGGATATCTCTTTTCCAATTGCATTTTCATGTCCTTTTTGAAAGAACTGAAGCATGGACAGATTTCATGTTTTCTTCGTTTCATTGCTACCTCTGATGTGTCCAATCAGTTGGGGTGACCAAGCACTCGACCCAAGAGGGCGTAATGTCTGTAATCTCCAAAAACGGTAAGTGGAAACGTTTAACTACATTCGAATTTACTCACATGTTAGATTTTAATTCTTTATCAGGGAAAAAGGGTTCTCTATTAGTGCAATCGAAACGATAATGCATATCCAAGAAAAATTTGCATTCAGAGAAGGACTCAAAAATGGGTGGATTCGAACCTACGTCTCACGACATGGAAGAGAGGTACCACTGCACTTATCATAGGTCACATCAGATTAAAGTCTGTCGATCTATCGAACGAGGTTTCTGAGTTATCGGTAGGTGAACTACAAGATGCGCGGCTGTTATAGAGTACGTGAATGTAGGTCGGTTTAAACTGCTAAAAATCTCTCTTTGAGGACATTAAGGGACACACTAAAGAACAAACTTGGCCGTAGGTTTCAAAGAAGGAACGGGCACGTGTTTTTACCAAGTTGGTTGGGGGAAAGTTTTTGCTCTAATGACAATTAGAATGTTCCATGCTTGAGGCATATAAATGCCAAAATGAGAGTATAATGTAGCACATGCTATGATGTTCCATATCCTTTAGTTTAACTCCCAGGTCCGACAGGATGCCATTTCTTATTCAGGAATCCGATATCGCCACCAAATATGAAACGGAATAATGATCCCAAGGGAATAAAGATTTGGTTGCACAAGACATGGCAGTTCTCAACCAAAATTCGAAAAGGAAAATTATGACTAAGAATTTCCCTTGCAAATGCGCAGATTTTATAAATGACAAATGCCGGTCTTTTTTTCCGGCGATAACATTTTTATATAAAATTCTGCTTCTTTTACATCATATAAATAGAATGGTACCAATTCTGATAACATGTCTGATACACGCGTGCTTGAGTACTAATTTACTTTTTAAAACACGTCTTAATTTATTGACCTTGCACGAAAACAAAACTTTACAAATAGCCGGATGCATCAAGGAGGTGATATTTGACAAAACTAAAATAATTTTTCAAACGATTAAACATAATTTATTCACCTTGTTTTCCTAAAAGCAATAAATCATTTTTGGTGCAAGAAAATGTCAGTACTATGGCATACTCTTACACGTGACAACTACTGTTGGCACAATTACTGTCCTTATTTCTAGGTAAGGATGAATAAATCATCACTTAGCATTTATGACGCTCCAGAAAGGAAACAGTGATTTGGCGGTTTTCTTAGCCAGGAAAGCCTGCGGGTAGTAAAACTTGATTGTTATTCCATCCCTGGATTTTATCAGGACATCCTTACAGTCACACAGCAGACCATTCTCCCTTTGCATACTATTCACATTTGTAGCCAACGTTTGCAGAAATATCACATTTGGTTGGTTTCAGACTTTGCATCAACATGGACATCAAGCATTGTGTATCTCGTTCTGTTCAAGTGTCTGACCTTGTCATTTCAACGGCTGGCTTATTTCTGATTCAGCAAAATAACCAGAAACAAATGTGGAGTGACTAGGAAAGACCCGAAACTCTGCAGGTGTATTCTACAGTGACTAATAGAAAGGAAATAGCATGATTGGGCAAAGTGCAAAGCGTCACACCTTTATCCATCCTGCCAGATTACAGCACCACAATTGACGACCTGAAAACAATTCCATTGCCAAAACTGTCACAGCAACCCATGGGTGTGAGAGCGATTTGAATAGATCTACAGAGCCTTAATTTGTAACGAAGATACATCTGTTCCCTGTTGGTTCCCATCTCAGTGCCAAACACCACTCTCACTTTCTCTCCACAGCTAAATCACAAGTATTTGATATAAAAGGGCTTCACAAGTGGTGTCACAAAGTTTCAAAACAATTTTCTTATACTTATCTGAAAATTCATCATGATTTCAGATTTTTTTAGCTAATATTATAAGTTTGTAAGACACCTATGGGAACACGAACCTGCGTCTGCCGAGATTCTACATAAAAACTGTATACGATAATGAAACACTGAACTTCTGAGAGAAATTCCAGAGAAAAATCCACAACCACTTGCTTGTCTCATAACTTGTCTCACTCACGCTTTTTCTAGGCCATACCCGTATGACGCTCTAAGGCCGAATAATTGGCAGCTAAAGGCACACGACCTGACGGAGCACCGATGTTGTGACGGTTGGAGACAAATTGGAGACTCTTGTCCTAAAGGTAACTCTACATGATGAGATCTCATTGCCAACCCTCCTTAATGCCAACACTGTCAGCCTTTGCTAGTGAAAAAAATACACCTTATTCCCGTGGTCTACCTTTTCAGCTGAAACAGGATCCAACACAATTCATCGCATTTAAACACAAAGGCAAATTACAATTATCGTAATGCAAAATTGCCTCTGTCCTTGACTTAATTAACACTGGAGTCGAACTTCGACAAATGCTAAAGAGACACAGTGGAGTACATGATCAAAATATTGACAGGGTCAATGACCTACTTATGATCTCTCCGTCATGGAGAAGGTAACAATGTTTCAACACCCAGGCTGATAATTACTGAAATGATGACTTCCTTTCCAATATCCCAATAGACCTGCCCCTTTGTAGTAAACAATCACATTCAATGAATGCCATGCCTAGTGTCTTTTCTTTTTTATTATTTTTAACACCTTGTCTTGACAGCATTTAACTTCATATTTCTAATCGAACAAAATTTCCACGATTCGAATTTCTCCTAGCTGTGTGCGACATTCCTTGCGTTCACGGTCAGTGTGCCGACCCAAATTACTGCTTATGTGATGACCACTGGGCGGTGAGTGCTTCCTTTTCTTCCTTACATTTCAAATCACCTTTCTCTTTAAAACAAATTTAAATAATTCAAATGGAGATGTCCAGAATCAACCAGTCACTCAATTTCTTGCTCGATTGTTATCCAGAAAAACAGACCATGGGGTATTGTTCCACGCACTTCACTCAATTTGTTTCAAACAAATGCTGTTGCTATGAAAAGTTGTTCTTGTTTCTAGCTCCCTAAAGGGCAAAGAAACACGAGAATTAATCCCCAACTTAAATCTCAACTAACGGAGTAGAAGTTAGGGGTCCTCTTTTTAGAACACGCCTTACAGATAATCATGCGCGATCAAAGATGACTTAATGAAGAAAGAAGGCACCAAGGTCATGCCATTCCGATTACGAAGCTTTCGAATGACTGATTGGTACGATTAACTGACTTAAAGCATCACAGGGCTGGACCTTGAGAAAAAAGTATAATCAATTTAAAGACGCGATCTGGATTTGTTTTCTATTTTTATAGACAAAGATCTATATGTGATTCAATCACACAGGACAATTCACGCTACAGTAATCATTCATCAGCATTGCTCGAGGCTGAAGCTAACGATGGCCATCGTCAAAGAATTAATTGTGATGCCTGGTACACACGTTTGCGATTTTGTCAAACATCAAGTTTCCAAATCCATGCATTAGGAACTTTGGTAAAGTTCAACGCAGCTGTCAATGATAACAAAGACGAAAGTAATTGGCGCGTCCGGTGTGAAATTAAATTGTACATTTAACACACTTCTTTATCATCGGTAAGAGATCGCTCATGTGGTGATGTTTGGTGTGGATATGTCAAGATTACAGGTGAAACAATAATCCCTGGTGACACGCTATGGGATGGGAGAGAGACCATCTTTGACATGAATCATGACTGTGCTAGAAAGTAATACACCTCATACTCATCATGAAAACCGTGACTGCTGTCAACAAACCGAGCCTACGGTTAATTCAGAGGAAATTAAAAAAGGAGTTAGAAAGATAATATAGGATGAATTATGGAATGAATTGACGTTAGTGGTTGAATTTCGAACTAAATAATTTTTAATTAAGCTGGAATTGTCACCGATTTGATAGCTTAACATTAGTTCTCTACTAGAAATCTATCAGCTGCGAATACTGGGGAATCACTTACATTGCAGACGACAGACGGGGACCTCATTCGATGATGTGGAAGGAAAAAAGGGCAAAACGTCAGTAGATTGTGATGTGATGACCTTTTTCGAAATATCTCAAGCCTGCAATGAATCAGCCCTATTTTCCGATTTGATGTTGCTCTAGTGCCTTTTTTGTGAATTTTTGGCAAAACTGTATGAAAACAACTAGAAGTATTTAGAATGCTGTATCACCGTAATCATCATCATGGCCCAAAACTAACGAACAGTGGGACAGTACGTCGCTAGACTGGAGGAGTGGAGCGCCAGTAGACTGAGGACGAGC